ACAGCTGTAATTTATAGCCGGCTTCAGTTGTAGGCAGGTAAACAGTTGTCTGGAGGCGAGAATGCAGCAGAACAGATCAGAATGTGCCGGCCAACATAAGATCTCACCACTATCATGATGTTTAACAGACCATGAGATGACATCATTTTTACAGCTTTTAGAAGTAAAAATCTGGGGGTTTTACTTGGTCTGCAGATCACGCTTTAATGACCAAAAACAATCAGCTGTTCGGTTTAGGTCATGCCACTGCTTCAGGACCAAAAAAAATGCCTATAAAAAGGCCAACATTTTGACTTCTGCATTTTTAAAACAACACATCGGCTCTAAATTATTTTCTCTGAATCGCTTCGGCTCATTGTCCTCATTGCGTAATCTGCCATTCCTCACCATCTCAGCMGACTCTCTGGTGCTGATCGAGTCGAAGATTGGACATGACTAGCTACGTCTTGTTCGGAACCCTCGGAAAAGAACTTATTTGTTATTTCCGTTGATAAAACGTGTTCGATATGCTTTCTGTAACCAGGCGTCGGAGATGGCGTCATTTGTTCAGGCCAAAAGGGACCTTGGCTGTAAGGCTCCTCAGGTGACGGTGCTGGAGGAGGGCATCAACACCGAGAGCAGGTGGGCCAAAGAGTTCTGGAGCCTGCTCGGAGGGAAGACCAAATACAGAGGTGCAAATCTACAGCAAGATTTAGTCTCAGACCTTCTGGATCTTACACTAAAAACCCATTATATTTGGTGTGTGTGTGTGTGTGTGTGTGTGTGTGTTACAGGGGCGGGTGAGCCAGAGGAGGATGAGCTGTATGAGAGTGGGGTTCTGGACTCTAATGGGGTGTACAAACTTGAGGGAGACAAACTTGTGCCCCACGAAGATGCCTGGGCCTCCATCCCCAGTGTGACTTTGCTTAATTCTAAAGAGGTAACTGATACAGAAACGTATCAAGCACCCATCATAAACATTTCCAATAAATCTCATKTACAAGAACCAACCTTTTCTCCCGTTTTGCCCCTGCCACAAACTAGGTTTTAGTGTTTGATTTTGGCAGCGAAGTGTACGTATGGCACGGGAAAGACGTGCCCTTGGGAGACAGAAAAGTGGCTGTCAAACTGGGCAAACAGCTCTACAGTGGCAGCTACGACTACAGCAGCTGCAGAGTCAACCCTTTAGACGCCTCCTGTACAAACACAGATGTGCCGCAGTGAGTATGACATGTTAATCACACCGAAGCAGCTGATGAGTTCACACACACACACACAAAAAAAATAGACAACGTTGTGATCTCAAATTTGCCGCTTCTGTGTTTTTTATTTGATGTTAAAATCGATTGACTGAAATAGTTTTTCCTGGTTATTTAATTGTGTTTTTGCAGCCTCTAGTGGTTTCACTGTGGCACTGCAGCGGCTTAGATGAGATGTTTTGTGTGTAAAATGTGTTACATGCAGGCAGGGAGAGGGACGTCCCAGCTGGACTTTGTTTGGCCGGCTGTCGGAGCACAATGAGACGTCCTTGTTCAGAGAGAAGTTCCTGGACTGGGCTGAGAGGAAGAAAGAGGAAACGGCTCCAATAGAGGAAATCAAGGTAGACAAAATTAGACTTGGGGCGTTTTCTTTTTAGATGAGTCCGAACTGAAACAAAAAAGGGGGAAAAACTTCCAGTTGTCATCAAACGTTCTGTCATCACTTTATGTGTCCAGAGCCCAGACTGCTGCAGCCCGCGCTCCCCGTTTGACATAGACCTGCAACCATGTGATGCAAAAGCTTTACTGGACAATGAACCGAACCTGGTGAAGACCGTTCTGGAGGGGGTGGACGTCCAGCGGGGCTACGGCTTCGTGAGGACGGAGGATGGAAGGCAGGCAGAAATGGCCACGGTGGCTGTGGAGGCCTGGCACATCAAAGAGCATGGAGAGGAAGAGCTGCCCGTCGAAAGCCTCGGTCAGCTGCACGAGGCCGACGCCTACATCATCCGCTGGAAGTACTCCATCACTACGCTTGGTGGGTCCTGAGAAAAGAAGCTTGTGTTAGAAATCTGGTTTTACTCTGGTTTTGATTTTCTTTTTTCTCTCTCTTGTGTCAGTGGGGAAACGTCAGAAACCCGGAGAGCTGAGCGCCGGAGTTCCTGGACGCGAGAGGACGGCTTGTTTCTTCTGGCAGGGCCACCAGTCCAGCGCCAGCGAGAAAGGAACCTCGGCTCTGATGACCGTGGAGCTGGGCAGCCACCGGGGGTCACAGGCGAGTCCAGCTTAATGCTTTCATTTTGCTTTTAAAGGGCCAATGTAAAGGGCCATGTTTCTCAGGCATATATTCAAATGCTATACCATAAGAAAGTATCTTATGTCACCTTTAGTTGTTAATAAAATGCTGTTTTAATGTTCAAATAGAAAATAAACTTGTCTTCTCATCATTTCCTCTTCAAAATGCCTTGAAATTGGCCTCTGTCTCTTTAAGAACCACCTTCACTTCTGTCTCGCCCATTTCGGTGTGTGTGTGTGGGGGGGGCTGCTATGATGCAGTTCACTTGGCATCTGAAAATACATTCCCTCAAAGTTATTTTTAATCTGAA